CCATTGTGCCCCACCGCAGCGGGGCCCTCTCGGCCGTGGTTTACGTTTGTAAGTTGAGTTACTGTAGCTGCGCACTCAGCGTAAACTGTTTCTGCTGTGAGGAGTCAGGGCAGTGGGCAGGTGCTTGTGCAGGCCCACTGTGCGCAGAGCCCTGGGGACAGTGTCTCTGAATCCGAGTTAAGGCAGGACCTGTGACCTGCAGGTACCATCTTCCTCTTCTATTATTTTTTAAAGGAAATATTTCATTGTGGACATTTCTGAACATTTAGAAGATTAAGGGATTTTACCGTGAAATTCTGCAGTTAGCATTTTGCTCCATGGGTTTCCTCACCTACCCATCTGTGATCACTCTGAAAAACAACAGGGCAGTATGTGAAAACTAAGGACCAAGTGGTTCAGAATCAAGTGTCAGGAAGCTGGAAAGAGCTTTGGGTTGAGACGGCTAGGAACATAAAAAAGATGGATAAAATATTGGTAAGCGAGGAAGGAAGTTCTGGAGAAGGGGGTGGGTGCGAAGGTGAGAAAATAAGACGTGTGGTCAGACAGCCGGGATCACTGTGAATACAGTGGTTGGTTTCTGTAACTGGCAGTCAGGGAGAAGCAGGTGAAACTGGATTTTGGCTCCATTATTGAGGGGCTTACACTTGATCCTGTGGGGAGAATTTTCTATTTGGCCTGTGTGGGTCGAAGGGCATAGCTGAAGTGCCTTGTATCGAGCGCTCACGTAATAATCTATTTAATCCTCACAGTTCTATCATCCTTATGTTATGTATGAGTAAAAGAAAGTATTGCAAGCTCAAGTGAATTGCCCCACATGATGGAGCCTTGAGGTGAGAGTGGATGGAGCAAGGACTGTAGTCCAGGGAGATTGGCTCTGGAGCAGTGGTTCTTAAAGAGTTGGTTCCAGACCACAGGAAACATTTTGGAAATGCAAATCCTCTGCTGTTTGAGAACCACAGCTCTGGAGGCTAAACTCTAAACCACGAAACTCTGTGGTGTGTGACGTTATTAGAGGAGGTAAACTGGGCAGGTAATCCTTTAAGGAGGCCTTGGCAATGGCCCAGAGATGATGACTTGACAAAGGCTTCGGTTTCGTAGTGACAGGGAAGTGACAGGGCACCTTGAAGTTTCAATAGATAAGGCAGAGCCTCTTGAAGAATCAGTTTCATAGGAAGTGACAGGGCACCTTGAAGTTTCAATAGATAAGGCAGAGCCTCTTGAAGAATCAGTTTTAACTTAGTATCTAGGAAGGGACAACACTGTTTTATGTGAAAATAAATGCTTATGATAAAACATTATTATACATTTTATTATAATAAAACAGAGAACCACCTGGCTTGTAAAGTCCTTTTTGGAATATGCCAATAGGGGAACCCTACCCTACCCCATTTTCTCCTATTCTCTTGCTTCTTTAATTAGGGAATTTTGGTAGAAAACTGTGAGAATCAGATTAGGTGTTGCAGTAGGAATTGAAAGAAGCAATAGATGTAGAGCATTACAATTTATTTTAGAGAAGAAAGAAGTGAATATAACATGTAGAACTTAGTCTTTTGTACAAAGGGAAAACAGAAGCAGGGAAGTTAGCAGTGAGTGGGGATTTAGCTTTAGATAGGGTGTTTAGGGAAGATATTGAAGAAAGACCCAGGGGAAGTGAGGGAGTGTGTTATGTGGATTTTGTGGGCAGGGGAGCTTTCCAGGCAGCGGGAACAGTAAGTGCAAAGATACCTGTTTCAAATAGGAGGCAGCGGCCAGCGTGGCTGGAGGAGAGTGAGTGTGGGAGTGTAAGGGGACATGTCAGAGTTACAAGGGCTAGGTGCTGGAGAGGCCATCATAGGACTTGGGCTTCCAACCAAGTGCACTGGGCATGGGGTGCTCAAGTTTAAGTTTGAGCTAAAGATAGAAATTTGGGGGCCAACACTATGTAGTGATAGGTGACCAGGAGGCTAGGTGACAGCAGTGATGGAGTGTACATAGAGAAAAGAGGCTGTAGGATGGCACAGTGTGGCATCAAGTGTTAGAGCGATGGAGACCAAGTGGCCTGGTGAGGTGGAAGGAAAACCTGGTGGTGGGGTCTCAGAAGCCAAGCGAAGAGAGCATTTCAGGCAGAGGGAGTGGGGAACTGTGTCGAGAGCTGCTGATGGCTAAGTATACATCATATTCGTACATTTCTTCCAGGAAGGAGACAGAAATTGAAAATGTAGATGCGGGAGAGAAACAGATTTGCAGGAGCAGATCCTGAGTACTGAGAGGGGTGGGATCTACTCACTGGCACCCCATGCATAGTGACAGGAGAGCAGGTAGCATATGGGTACAGATGCTTGTAGATGGGTGGGTCCAGTGGTGCTTTGGTAAAGCTTTCTTCTTCCTGTTATATTTTCTTTGTGATGAAGTAAGTAGCAGCTGAGATAGAGAAGGAGGGTGGTGGGTGATCTGTTGGAGAGTGGAGGTGAGACGAGAGAGTATGAAGTAGTCGTTTAGAAGTGTGGGAAAGCAAATCCCCACACTGTGTTACAGCACTGATTCTCCAGGTGTGAGCTGGGGCTATGGGGGGAAAGGGTCCCCAAGATTGTTTTGGGAGTTCTGCAAAGTTGAGCTATTTTCATAATAACACTAGGAAGGTTTTTTGCCATTTTTACTCTCATTCTCTTACAAGTGTACAGTAGAGTTTTCCAGATATGTGATCTTTCAACAGCAAGCATAACAAATTCTTGAGAATCCAGCTGTCTTTTAAGCCAGACATTGCAAAATTGTTAAAACAGTGCCATTGTTGTCAATAATTTTTTTTTTTTTTGTAAATGTGATTTTTTGGTAAAGTTAATTCATATTAACATATAATTGATTTATTTTTTAAATGAATAACAGTTTAACACTCTAAATATCAATAGATATAACCCACATAAACAAAAGTTCCCTGGAAATAATTTTTTAGTGTAAAGAGGTTCTGAAACCAAAAAGTTTGAGAGTTGCGGGACTAGAGACATAGTATTACTGATTGGCATTATTAAGTGTCTCAGAGAAGAATCTGAGTAGAAATGGGAAGAAGAAGAATTGAAAGTAGAGGATTTTGAGCCTGGTTCCATCAATTGAATAGGAAAGTGAAGAAACAGAGCCGTGTGGGGATGGAGGAGATGGGTTTTAAGAATGGGGTGGTGTAGTAGCAGGATACAAAATCAACACACAAAAATCGGTAGCATTTCTATTCACCAATAGTGA